GTCCCTTAGTTAGTGTCAGTTTAGATTTTTTATTGTGTTTATATAAACCTTTTTTAAATATCTTTTTGTTAATAACTTAATATTTTATAATAATATAAGTGTTTGTTAAACTTTAAAGCTGCCAATTTGATGGTTTACCCCATTCTTGGTGAATTTTTTGAGGTGAAAACAGAAATTTAAATCCGGCCGGATTTTCTCCAAATCCAGCCGGATGCCGGAAAATTCGTTAAATCCGGCCGGATTTGAAATCCGGTGCACCCCTAGGTACAACGTTTAGTCGTTGGTGTATTCTACGAAAATAAGCGGGATTTTTGCCCGAAAGATTCCGAATGTCGACAAACACAAATGGCGGATAATAGCTTCCGGCGGTTCACAAATACTCGACTCGGAACTCAACGTCACTAATGTGTTACTATCTATCTATCTATCTATCTAATATCTATCTTACACACCCGATGACATAAAGGATTTTGCTTCGCAAATCCTTAAAAATCAATGTTTTCATATGCATTTTTATTATTTTTAAACTTGTCTATTTTACTACAGTAAACTTGGATTTACATTTCAAATATAAACGTATTTAGTCAACTAAATGATAGTATAGTATGTATGATCGAATTATGGTCAACAAATGAAATGAAATATATCTATAGAATTTCACCTACCATTCTTTTTTGACCTGCCATTTCTAAAATATGGCCTGTTTTTGACCATTGACAGCCCAGACCATTCCAAGCTCTGGCTTGTATAAAGTTGCTTCTGATAATTGAAAGATGAAAATGAATATAATTGCATTATTCTGCAGAGCTTAGCTGGATGGCATTCAAAATTGTCGGCCCAAATTTGGTCGGACTTTTTTCAATTTCATTTTCAGATGCCCAACAGAGGTCGTTCAGTAAAACATGTTGGAAATTCATGAATAATGGACCATTCCCACATTAATTAACCAAAATTTTGAACTCAACAAGTCTAGACAAAAATTTCATCACTGCTTGAAAGAGCATCACAAAATTAGCAATATTCCAAAGTTTCGTTGTCAAAATGTTGTAAAATGCGGATAATATAGCCTTGCGAAGTTTGCAATTTTCAGGGAAATGGTTACCACTTCCGTGCGTAATGCAAAATGACTGAAAATTACAAACTTCGCAAGGCTATATTATCCGCATTTTACAACATTTCACATCGAAACTTTGGAATATTACTAATTTTGTGATGCTCTTTCAAGCTGTGAGGAAATTTTTGTTTAGGCTAGTTGAGATTAAAATTTTGGAAAAGTGGTAACCGTTTCCCGCTCGTAATACAAAATGACTGAAAATTGCAAATTTCGCAAGTCTATATTATCCGCATTTTACAACATTTCGCAACGAAACTTTGGAATATTACTAATTTTGTGATGCTCTTTCATCATGCTGTGATGGAATTTTGTCTAGACTTGTTGAGATCAAAATTTTGATTAATCAATATGGGATTGGTCCATTCATAAAGAAAACACAAAAGAAATCATGAGCGTGAAGGAATTTGTATATCTGATACAGAATCATGCTGATTTACATAAACTTTAAGGTTACTTCACATGATGAACGTGCGTTTTAGTTTATTGAATATGGCGCAACGAATTTTAGGTGTAACTTTACCAAAATTTTAGTGAAGAAAGCCGAGAAAATGCTGATTTTCGAAAATCTTCATTTGATGACTAAAGAAACATATAGGTATCCCATAAAAAAATCAAAATATGTTTGTAGTTTACCTCAACATTTGTCTACATATCTCGATTTGAATCTTCATAGGTACGGTAAAAAAAAATATTAGAATGTTAGGGTTTGGAATCCAAGTGAGGATATATACATTTTAAGACCTAACCAGGAACGACTGCGAAAAATGCAGCACAAGGTCCTCTGGTAGGAAGTTTATTGAATATGGCGCAACGAATACCAGAGGACCTTGTGCTGCATTTTTCCTACCAAAGGACCTTGTGCTGCATTTTTCGCAGTCGTTCCTGGTTAGGTCTTAAAATGTATATATTCTCACTTGGATTCCAAACCCTAACATTCTAATATTAATTCCACCAAGTGAAGTGCAAGAATCTAAGTCCTGAAGTCCACGGTAAAAAAAACATGTGCGGAAAATTTCTCTTCAATGTTTTTTCTGATATGACGTTTTCTTTGACAACTTTGTGAATTATCAGTCACAAATCCAAGAATCAGGGCATATCAGAAAAACCACTAAAGAAGAGAAATTTTCCGCACACGTTTTTTTTTGTTTTTTTTTTTTACCATGCCTATGAAGATTTGAATTGCGATATCTGGACAACCGTTGAAGTAAACTATAAACGTATTTTGATCTTTTTATGTGGTACCTATATATTTTTATAAGTAAACCAATACTGAAAATGTTTAAACTGATGACTCATCAAATGAACATTTTCGAAATCAGCATTTTCCTGGCTTTCTTCACCGCAAATTTGGTAAAGTTACACCTAAAATTCGTTGCGCAATGTCCAATAGACTAAAACGCACGTTCATCGTGTAAAGTAACCTTAAGTTCAATTTTCTCACCAAATATCATTAATTTATTTTAAATTGTTGAAGTACAATAGAACATGAACGTTATACAATATAGTTGTTACATTAACATTATACAATATAGTTAATATAATATAATTAACATAACAATTTTTTTCAACAATTTTTAAGCATTTTATTTAAATGCTTTTGAATTTAACAATTTTGTATGGACTATTTTTTGTCCAAACAATTTAGCTTGTGATCATAGAGACCCATTTTCAAGATACTTTCAAGTGATGTGTAAAAATTGGGGAGAAAAGTCCGTGTCCTGTCCATTTTAACTAGGACTCCATGGTCCGTAAGTCCGGGATTCCGGCGTACGTCTTGAAAATCCGCGTTTTCCGGCGTTTTAATTTCCTTATTGTTTGAGAATGTCTAGTTATTAAAAAGTTTATACTCAAAGGTTTATATTAAAAAACTAAGAAAACTACTTGAACGCATGATTGATTTGGGCGATAATACGGCTGTCATTTGTAACGAAAATACAACAAGTTGATTTCGTAAAGGAATTTTTTGTTTACCGAACTGAAATTGAACACCGTGCGATTCTGGTTTTCATCACCGGATTGGCGTGTTAAATTCCACAGATCAATAACAACCCACTACGGGCGAGCAACAACAAAACAAAAATTTCACCTCGCCAAAATGCAGGTCACGCCAAATTAAAAGTGGGACGGAAATCGGTAGCCAAACAAAGCATTGTCTTTTTTAATCAGGAAGAATGCTAACAGACGTCTCAGATACAAAGGACGTGCAACAATGTCGAATCTGGCTGCATTGAAAACCGAATTACTGAAGCCAAGTGTACTGAAAGAAGGTCACCTTATAAAAATCGGTCGCAAATTGAAGCTTCCGAAGTTGCTTTATTATGTTCTAAAGCCGTGCGGGGTTTATTGCTACGATACACAAGATCATGACATACCGCAGGGGTATATACCATTAGAGCCTATCGAAGATATATCCCTTTCTCTTGGGACAGTTGTCGAAGCTAGTATACGTTTACATTGCTTAAAGATTGCGGATAAACGAAAACAGCACATACTCGCTTGCCATTCTATGGAGATACGGAATTCATGGATTACTGCCATACTAACAGCGGTCGCGCAAAATTTGGTCCACGAAAATCACTCCGAATTGAGAAAGAGAATGGACTCGTCCAATTCGGATGAATTTGACACCGTATTTTGTGAGACGTCGTACCAATTTACGTCGCCGTTCTGGGTGAACGGTGAACCCAAACGTAAAGCGAAGGCGAAGAGGTTATCAATGGCGGATATAGGAAATACAATTATACAGAAACCTGCTTGGATGACAAAAGGCAAGAAGAAAGAGCTGCGGTCGAAATCGCTGTCCTGTGAGGATATTCATAGCATATACACCGTAGCCGAAGCCAAGGCTCCTTTGGCGAGGAAGCGTTCGTTACATGACCTGAGTCGATATTTATTCGGCTCAAGCTCGAATAAATCAGACAGTGCAGAGACGGATTGTGCTGCAAAGCTACGCGATGTTCGAAGCAAGCCGAACGGGGGCAAGAAGCGCTGGTCCCTATTTGCAGGCGTGTCTTCTTTTGGGGGAAGTCAGACTTGTATCGCTAATTCTGTAACAGAACGTAAGAAAATTTGCACTGCCAATGGCCACGGGAGAAGCGGAAGTCCCTTGATTTTCGACACAAAATTATAGCTCACAGGAGGCACTGTTAGTTAATTATCGTCTTGCTATCTCAAAGATATTAGGTATTGTATTTGTAGCCACAAGTGGTTGTCAGTTTCGGATAGTTATAGAAGCCAGAACAATACACTGTGTAGTTTAATCTCTCAAAGAGAATACATGGTATTATATTTAAACTTTGTAAAACTGTTGGTCTTGAAGTATTATTTTATAATGCGGTGCTGATATGTGTGGTTGAAATTAATTTCGTGAGAAAAAAATGAAAATTTCCTTGACAATTTTCTGTACGGTCAACAAGTGTTTCCTTGGCACGTTTTGTTGGCCGTGTGAACGGAATGTAAACGGAATGTTGTTAATTCAACAGTAATAACACGTCACAAGACCGTCTTTTGTTTGTCAAAACCATAGAAGTACTTCTTGTATAAACTTGTCAAGTTTTCCTGGCCGACCCGTACACACCCGTATGATTTTCCTTGTCCAAAAACTGGCACGACTATAGCTTTGGAACAAGGCTCGTAATTGGCAAGGAAAAATTGTCAACTTTTGTACGGTATACACGAGAAAATAGAACTTGTCAAGGAAAAACTGCTCGGCTGTACGCTTCTTATAATTATTAGAGAGTTTGAGCAAGACAACAAAGTAGGAAGACGAAAGCGTACTTGACAATTTTTGCCGTCTGCACATTATCTTGCACATACTGAGTTGGACGTCACTGGTGGTTGCTCAACGTGTCTTCCCATGTGTCGCTGTTTATGATACTGACCGCCATAATTCTTGTCCTTATCCAGAAAAAAAACCAGCGAGTGTTGGTTCTGTAGCTCAGTTGGTTAGAGCACTGCACCGGATTCGCAGGGCCGTAGGTTCGATTCCTACCAGGGACCTATAGTTGCATTTTTCACAACTGTTCCTGGTTATAGGTCTAACAAATGTCTATAAATTTCCGCTCGAGAATTTCCATCTATACCATATACCCTTCAACTATTACAGAATCGAGTGAGATCACTGAGCTGCCAAGAAAATCTCGATATTTATACTTAAAACTCTTAACGCCTTTGATCTGCTAAGGCCACTTTTTTGTCGGATTACGGATTTTGGTCATCGTTAATCTATAAAGCGTGATTTCCATATGGTCGTAAAGATTGAGTCACGATCTTTCTCATCAGCCGGAACTACCGCAGGTGGCGCAAAAAAATGTTCCCCTTCTTTGACGTATTTTAAATAGAAAACTAAAGAAGCCAGGCTTATTCAAATAAAGTTTATTGAACGCAGTAATGTCTAACTTAAACTTTGATGTATGCCTTAAACATTTCTATAGAATATTAGTCGAGATATAGGCGTTTAAACTCAAGGTAGCATTTTCGGAAGAAGCGAAACTGAAATGGTCATTTTATTATACCATAATGCAAATTAATAGACCATTTTAGACCATTTTTCGCTTTTTCCAAAAACGCTACCTTAAGTTATAAGTGTAAAAGCGTATATCAGTGATATCTCGGCTAATATTTTATAGGAATGTGCAATGCATACAGCAAAATTTAATTTAGATCACATAACTACGTTCAATTAATTTTATTTGACTATTTGTATAAGATAGATTTTTCAGTTTTTTAATTACAATGAGTCAAAGAGGGGGAACATTTTTTTGCGCCACCCGGTAGAGAAAACTTATGATTTATATGTGGTTTACAGGTATAAACTATTATAAACTGGCCGTTGACGTTACGACCATACGGAAACTGGGCTTAATACCACGGCGCATGTAACAAGTCACGTTGCGTGCGTAATAATTGCATGTCTGTCCTTGCACATTTTATATAAGCACGTGATGATATTTGCACTAACTGTTCTTAACTTTTAAAGTTTGTTCGTTCACTGCAACCAGGTATATCAATCGTGTTTCCCTCGCCACTCTGGTTTAAATAAATGATTACAAAGCCCAGTCGAATTGTAATCAAGACCCAACGACACTCCAGTCTAGTGTCTTCATCAGGAGTGATCGTGGCTTCTTAAATGCCCAAGGGATGACGTCACCTGCCAATGAGATGCATGTATTCCTCTGGCAAATAGGCACCGTCATCCCTATTCAAAACATGATTACTCATATTTATATGCTACGCTTGCAAAGTCTTTGACCATAGCGATTGTTTGTGGTATAATTACTTTAGAGTTTTCCCACGCAATATCGTGTTTGGTGTAACATACATGTTCTTAACTTGTGTTTCCGTGTTACGTAATCGCTTCCACCCAGATGGGCAGATACTATAGGGTGTGGGAAAATCGCCTACTCACGTGCCGGAGGTGCGCCAATATATTTTTTTCACCTAATGGCCCTTTAATTACAATTACGAATTGCTTGATGCTGCATCATCCTAAACAGTTTACGACGGAAACTCTCAACGTTTCTGTTATCACAGTATTGGAATTTTCTAAGAATTGAAAGATTTGTAAGAAGTGTTTGAGAGAACAGAGACTCTCTGTGTTTAACAGTAAGTCAGGATACTCAAACATTTCTTACAAATCCTTCAAAACTTAGAATTTTCCTGTGCATAATTCCTACTGTGATTACAGAAACTTTGTCAGGATACTTAAACATTTCTTACAAATCCTTCAAGTCAGGATACTTAAACATTTCTTACAAATCCTTCCTGTGCATAATTCCTACTGTGATTACAGAAACTTTGTCAGGATACTTAAACATTTCTTACAAATCCTTCAAAACTTAAAATTTTCCTGTGCATAATTCCTACTGTGATTACAGAAACTTTGTCAGGATACTTAAACATTTCTTACAAATCCTTCAAAACTGAAAATTTTCCTGTGCATAATTCCTACTGTAATCACAGAAACTTTGATATTGTAAACAAAGCTTTACAGTTACTATACAGCTAAATCTACGTGATTAACTTGAATATTTAAGTCAACGAAGAATTTTTAAAATTTATTTTTAAAGGAAGTTATATAAGGAACGTTTTGTAATATCTTTCGTTTCGATTTGGCAATGATTTGAAGAGCCATGCCCCACTATAAGATAATTTGGCCTTAGAAACTTTGAGATCTGTTAGAGTTGATGAAGTAGATAAATTATTGGCTTCATGACAGAAGGTGAACAATTTTCTTATTTCAGTTAAAAGCCCACGTTACTAGTATTTCCGCATCCTGATAATTGTAACAAGGTTGAGGACGAGGTTGAGGAGGTCAACAGACTCGCAACAAGTTGTTCCAATCCAACAAGTCTGATATCGAATTGTAAATCTAATCTATCTCTAAACAATAAGTATCTTTATGAATCGCTGGTCTTATAATTGACTTTTAATCGACAAAGCCTCCTCTGCATGGTATAATTGGTTTACCCAAATTACCCAGGTTAGAATGTCCCCGGAGCCACTTTAGAATTTCTTCAGTCCCCAAAAGACTGCTAATTAAAAAGGCCATGCTAGGCCGCGAAGTTCAAGTTGCTTCCTTCTGGGATTACAGGTATTTGAAAAACGTGGCATCTCTCCAGTAAAGTATTACAACACCTAAACTGTGAAGATTAAAACAAGACATGCCATTAGGTCCGCGTGTCTCATCATTCCATAAACATCCCAATATAAGCCCTGTGCTTAGATTTATTGATGTGCTTATACATTGGGGGAGGGGGGGGGGGGCTTATATACGGACAATATTTGGTGTTAGTAATAATATTTATTGTACCTGTAAACTATATGTCTATATATCGGTGAACGAAAAGAAATAAACATACATTATATTTACTGGGTTTTTGTCATTAGTAATTCATAAGCTTATTGGCAAATCATGTCAACCATAATATGTCACGTGCAGTGGCTTTAGACCTGATAAAACACTCCTAGTTAGTATTCTTTATATAAAGAATACTAATAAGGCAGTATCTATTGTAGTCGTGTCCTCATTAGTATTCTTTATATAAAGAATACTAATAAAAAAAAATTAAGGCAGTATATACTGTATCTATTGAATTTGTAGTTTTATTAGGTCTAAAGCCACTCGCGCTGTGCGCTCGTGGCTTCAAACCTAATAAACACTCCTGCTCGTTTATTAAACAGTACGTAATACTATATGGAGACACAAATCGCACGTGAAATCGCGTGCAGTCTTTAGTTTTCATTTATTACAGTCCACGTCGGTATGCGTTCTGTCAACAGCACTTGCAAAAATCTTAGTTGCCTTACATTTGTGTTCATTCCTGTTTTTGTAAATATCAATTAGTCCAAATACCATGCATGCTTTATTCATGAAATAAATACACTTGGGGCAAAACAAACACAGAACGCCGATGACACAAGAATCCAGGTGGTGATGGTGGTGTTGGGGGGGGGGACGGGGGGGCGGGGAGGGGGGGGCGGTATTCGGGCGCATACTCCCCTGTCCGAATTTCTATAAAGCGACTAGAACAACATTTTTGCATTCGGGCACTCTTCAAGAGAAATCATAATCAATAAAAAACATTCCCAACGTTGCAACCCGCCTCCCCCACCCCTCCGTGATTTCATCTTTTTACAAGAACAGGTCTGGAAATCATTGGGAGGACAGATCCCTCCCTCCCATGGGGAGGCCTGGCTATGCCACTGCAGCAAGCTGTTTCGTAAGCGGAAAATATATTTCTCTAGTTCTGGCAGCAAAATCCAAAAATAAAAATTTCTTGTGTAAGTCAAATATGAAACTTCCTCACTTAGTGATAAACTTCGATCTTGGAACAAGACAATCACGACTTGCCTTTTGTAAACAACAAGTAAATTATAAGCCATTCCAGCATATAAGATGACAAGAAATTTTCTGCAAGAAATCATGAATATGATGTTTGTGGTGTTACTCTGAGTGTGCATCCACACCGATTGCCACCATGGTTAGGCACACTTCTCAGCAAGAGTGGGTAGTAGCGAAGTAGTTGTAGTTTGCTACTGTAGCGAACTACAATTTTTCAAGTAACCAGTAGTTTTTGTCTACATTTTTAAAACAGTAGCTGTAGTTATAGCGAACTACATTTTGCCTAA